CCAGCAGCCATTCCTTGTATGTTTTAGCCTCCAATCCCCTGATCATCTTTGTTGCTCTTCTCTGCGCTCTTTCCAGAGTCCTTGAAGACATTTCACTTCTCGTCCCAGGAGCTTCTCCAGTTCTTGGGTGAGAAGCGAAATGTTTTCCAAGAAGGAAACCAAGAAAGTCCAGTTGCCCTTTAGGGAAAAAAGCCCCTTTGGGGGGAGCCGTGACTCGGATGACGGAGAATCTCTGCGGGTTTTCCGCTGGAGAAGCTTCCAAGAGCTGGTCAAGAGATGCCCGCACCTCTCAAGGACAGCCAGTCCTTGACTTAGCAGCAGCTTGTTTAGTGACGGTTCAAAGTGACGACGGCACTGGAAAAAGTGACCTATGAGCGTTTTTCACACTTAACGACCTTTGCAGCACCCCCTTTTGGTCACGGGATTTCCATTTGGACGCTTGGCATCTGACTCGTATTTATGACGGCCGCGGCGTCCCCGGGGGGTGTGTGTGTGTCACGCGATCCCCTTTTGCGACCTTCTGACAAGCAAAGTCAATGGGGGAGGCCGGATTCACTTAACAACCGTGTTACTAACTTAACAACTGCAGGGATTCACTCGTGGCCGTAAAGGTTGTAAAATGGGGCAAAACGCAATTAACAAACGTCTCACTTAGAAACAAATTTTGGGCTCAGCTGTGGTCGTAAGTCGAGGATTTCCTGTATCTGGCTATTTTTGCTCCCCTGTGACCTTTGCCGGTCTTTCTGCCGCTTTGTGATGAGGAAGCCACAGACACCCCCCCCATTGCAAGAGGGCCCCTTGACCCCCTTCCAGAAGCTCTGACCCCCCCCCCCCCCAAGGAGAGGGCAGATCTCAAAGGCTGAACCCCCAATGGTTTCTTGATACTTGCAAGCCTGAAGGGGCTGGAAGGCATGAGGCCACCGGACCCCTCTTTACCATCGGCCAAGGCGGCCGGGGCTCCAAGGGCCACGGCTGGCTGGCTGGGGGGGGGGTCTCAGACCCTCCTGTGGGCTGCTTCCAAGGGTTGCCCAGAGAGATGAATAACTTGAGATTAATGCTTTGGGTCTTTCAACCTGGACTGAATGCGTTCTTTTTTTTTAATTGAAAATTTTTACAGTTTTACAATAAAATAATCCCCCTCTCCCACCCACCCCCTTCCCCCCATACCCTCCCCCCACCTTCCCAGAGCTGAATACGGGGTTAATAAAAACTAAAAAAAAAACCTTACAACTTAAATAAACATCAAACAATTATAAATACATTCAAAAAACCCTAAAATTTTAAATACTTTAACTCCAATATATAAAAACAAAACAAAACAATAGTTCTAATCGTTACCTTAAACAAATTATTCAAAAGCTAAGTAATACTTTTTAATCTCATATTTGTGCTGTATAAAATTCACCCATCTTTTCCACACCCAAAAATATTTCTCTTGTGACTGTTCTTTCAAATAAGCCGAATTTTTTGCCATTGCAGATAAATAAGAAACTTTAAGAAACCATTCTTCTAAAGTAGGCAAAAACTCCTTCCAATATTGCCCTATCAGCAGCCTTGCCACTGTAATTAAGTTCAACATTAAAATAATTTCTTTGTCATCACAATCAACAATAATGCCTAACAAAAACAATTGTGGTGTAAATTTTATCCTTCTATTAAAAATTCTTTGAATGTTCCACCAAATCTTAATCCAAAAAGACTTTATATTTTTACAACCTGGGCTGAATGTTGAAAGGCAGAGGAGCTGCACAACTGGATGGGGTGGCAACTTCCTCCAGGTGTTGGGAGGAAGGAGAGCAGCCAGCAGAGGCTTCAAAGTCCATTGAGAACCTGGCTTTTGACATTAACAGAATAACAAGAGTTGGAAGGGACCTTGTGGGGGGTCTTTGAATAACAATAATAATAATATAATTGGAAGGTACCTTGGAGGTCATCTAGTCCAACCCCCTGCTCAGGCAGGAAACCGTATGCCATTTCAGACAAATGGCTGTCTAGTTTCTTCTTAACAACTTCCAGTATTGGAATATTCACAACTTCTGGAGACAAATTATTCCACTGATTAATTGTTCTCACTGTTAGGTAATTTGTCCTTAATTCCAGGTTGTTTCTCTCCTTGATGAGTTTCCACCCGTTGCTTCTTGTCCCGCCTTCAGGCGCTTTGGAGAATAGCTTGACTCCGTCTTCTTTGGGGCAGCCCCTGAGATACTGGAAGACTGCTATCCTGTCCCCCCTCGTTCTTCTCTTTGTTAAACTAGACCTACCCAATTCCAGTAGCCTTTCCTTATATGCTTTAGCCTCCAGTCCCCTGATCATCTTTGTTGCTCTTCTCTGCACTCTTTCTAGAGCAGCGGTGTCAAACTCGCAACATCACATGACGTGTGGCGACGTATCGTGATTTTTTTTCCCCATTGCCGGCAATGGGGTGGGCGCGGTTTCGGCATGACGCATCCGGCCTGCAGGCCGGTAGTTTGACACCCCTGTTCTAGAGTCTCAACCTCTTTTTTTACATTGTGGTGACCAACCCCTGCTCCGGCAGGCATCCCTATACCCCTCGTGTGTATGTGTGTGTTTTAAAAGACCACCCAACTCTACAACAAGTCTGGGCAACGTGCATTGGAAGCAGTCAGACTTTTTAGGAAAGGGTTTGGCAACCTGCTGTTCCAGTCTTTGATCTCTGTGCAGGTTCAGAGGGTGTGAACAAGGGAATGAAGATGTTGACATCTGTGAGTCTGCTGGGCGTGGGATGTTGACTTCTAGGGATGCAAATGCAGACTCCTCCTCCTCCTGGCAAACCTAATCATTGCCTTGGGCTGAGAGAACTGGGCCTGAATCCCTGGCTTTTCCTGAGTTTTTTGGCTGGCCCAGCTGGAGACAGGCGGTTCCAGGACCAAGGCTGGCCAAGGGGAGTGGCGGGTCCAGGCAGGTGGCCTCTTGTTCCCACAGACAAGGGTTAGTCCTGCGTTTGAGCCGAGAAATCTGAGCACACCTAGGGGCAGGGGGTCTCCAACCTTGGACACTTTAAGACGGGTGGACTTCGACTCCCATGCTGGCTGAGGAATTCTGGGAATTGAAGCCCACCTGTCTTAAAGTGGCCAAGCCGGGTGGCCGAACCCTTTCCTAAAAGGTCTGACTGCTTCCACCGCACGTTGCCCAGACTTGCTGTAGAGTTGGGTGGTCTTTTAAAACACAGACACAGACACAGACACACACGCACACACACACACACACACACAGGGTTGGTGCTATAAGAATACCTGCCTGAGCAGGGGTTGGACTAGAAGACCTCCAAGGTTCCTTCCAACTCAGATTCTCAGCTGATTCCACCCCGCTTGGAGTCTCTGCTGGCCTGGAGGAACTAGTGCAGGGGTCTTCAGCGTGCCTGGCTGAGGAATTCTGGGAGTTGAAGTCCACAAGTCATCAAAGGGCCAAGTCTGAAGACCCCCGAACTAGAGGGAACCCACACACCTAGGGCAGGGGGTCTCCAATCTTGGCCACTTTAAGACGGGTGGATTCAACTCCCAGAATTCCTCAGCCAGGATGCTTTAAGACAGTGTTTCTCAACCTTGACCATTTTAAGACATGTGGACTTCAACTCCCAGAATTCCACAGCCAGTGTTGCTGGCTGTGGAATTCTAGGAGTTGAAGTCCACATGTCTTAAAATGGTCAAGGTTGAGAAACACTGCTTTAAGACGTGTCTTCAAACTTGCCCCCTTTGTGACTTGTGGACTTCAACTTCCTGGGGCGTGCCTGGCCCAGGAATTCTGGGAATTGAAGTCCACAAGTCATCAAAGGGCCAAGTTTGAAGACCCCCTGGGATAAGGTGAGGTATAGTCTTGGTTTGGAAGCTGTGGGAAGCTGTGGGTCGTGGGGGGGGGCGTGAAGGGGAAGCAGCCCCCAGAACACTTTGCCTTCTGGGGGGGACCCACTTGAGGACCTCCAGGGCCCTGCCCGTCGCTGTCTTTCCCTCCACCTAGTCTGGGTCTGCCCTTCCCCACACGCTGAGGCTCCTGGGCTGTGCTGAAGGGCAGGTGGTCTTCAGAAGGTGTACAGGTAGCCCTCAGATTACAAATCATTTCTTTCGTGATCCAAGTTACAATGCTTGCAGCTTCTCCAGCACTGGAGATGGAGAATCCACCAATTGGTTTAGACTTTATTCCTGCCCAATCAGATCAAGTCAGCCAAAGATGCCACGCCCATCCTGGACCATAGAGATCCCAGTCTTGACTTGATCTTGCCCAGGACAGACGTGCAGATTTGGCTCTTAGGCAGGTACAGTCTCCATTGGTGGATTTTCTTTTCTCTAGTACAGTGGTTCTCAGCCTGTGGGTCGGGACCCCATTTGGGGTCGAACGACCATTTCAGGGGGGGTCGCCAAACAACGCAGTCTGCCATTTTTTTCCTTCTTTTCCTTAGCAGTGCTACTCCCTTTTATTCTTTTGGCTTTTGAAAGCCAATAGAGTAGACTCTCTTGAATAGAGTCCAATTCTATTGGCTTTCAAAAGCCAATAGGAATTGTCCAGGCTGTCTCTGCCCTGCTGAGCCCGCCAAAAGTCCCATTCTGCAAACGATGCTGCACCCATTGAGTAGTCCTCGACTTACGACCGGCTGAGTAGTCCTTGACTTACGACCGATTGGGGGGGGGGTCGCAACATTAAAAAGGTTGAGAACCACTGCTCTAGTAGCTGTGTAGGTTTTAGTGAGCTATTGGATTCAATCCCTTTTCAAATTTGATTACCATTACCAAATTTTCAATCAAATTTTCCTCCCCCCGTCATCCAAAAAAAGTAAAAAGCTCTTCGCTTAACAACCTTGCTACTAATTTAACAACTGCAGTGATCCACTTAACAGATGTGGGAAGAAAGGTGGTAAAATGGGGGAAAAACTCAACGACCTTGCTTAGCGATGGCAATTTGGGGTTCAGGGCCTGCCTGTGTTGGACGCCCCCTCTGAAATCCAGCCTAATCCGCCCTCCTCCTCCTCCTCTCTCCCCCCCCCCCAGGTGCCACAAGGTGCAGGACTCCTTGCTCAGCTCAGCCAGTGGCTTCAGCAACTACCGAGGCATCTTGAACTGGTGTGTGGTCATGCTGGTGAGTAGCCACTGCCATCCCCGTGGGGGGAGGAGGGGGGGCTGATGCCTGGCTCGCTGCCCCTTGGCACCCCTCGGTGGCAGACGCCAGCTGCGTTTTTCTTGGGCCGCAAAAGCTGGCCGCCCGCCAGGCTGAAGAACCAGTCTGGGCAGCCACTTTGCAGCACAGAGAGGACATTGTGGTCTCAACAGCCCGGCGGCGCTGGCAGCTTCGGCTTCGGATAAGTGGCGGCTGGTGGTGGGGCAGGCTGCTTGGAAATGGGCCAGGACAAAGCGATCCGAGTGTTTCGGGGGCGATTCTGGGTCCTTGGATGGAAGGGCTGAGGATACTGGAGAGGAGGGACCCTTTGGAGTGGGAGGCAGCGGTCATCTCCTCCCACCTGGAGGCACCTTCTGTTGGGGTCTTCCAGCTTCCTACGGTGGTCTTAAAGGGGCCACGTTTGGAAACCTCTCTGGAGGCCGCGTGGAGACCTACAGCCTGTAGGTCTCCACGCAGCCTCCAGAGAGGTTTCCAAATGTGGCCCCTTTAAGACTTGTGGACTTCAACTCCCAGAATTCCCCAGGCAGAATGAATGAAAAATGTTGCCTTAGACCAGGGATGTCCAACCTTGGCCAGTTCAAGACTTATGGATTCCAACTCCCAGATTTCTGGGAGTTGAAGTCCACAAGTTTTAAAGGGGCCACGTTTGGAGACCCCCTTGCAGAGGACTGCCCTTTAATAATAATAATAATAATAATAAAAAAAAAAAAAAAAAGTTGGAAGGGAACTTGGAGGTCATCTAGCCCAACCCCCTGCTCAGGCAGGAAACTCTATACCATTTCGGACAAATGGCTGTCCAGTCTCTTCTTAAAAACTTCCCGTGTTGGCGCATTCACCACTTCTGGAGACAGGTTGTTCCACTGGTTAATTGTTCTCACTGTCAGGAAATTTCTCCTTAGTTCTAGGTTGCTTCTCTCCTTGGTTAGTTTCCATCCATTGCTTCTTGTCCTGCCTTCAAGGGCTTTGGAGAATAGCTTGACTGCCTCTTCTTCGGGGCAGCCCCTGAGATACTGGAAGACTGCTATCGTGTCCTCCCTCCTGTTCCCCAAGCATTCCGCTTGTCCGATTATGAAGATTCATGACTGGCTGGGGAATTCTGGGAGTTGAAGTCCACAAAGGGGCCATGTTTGGAGACCCCTGTGCAGAGGACCGCCCTGTTTCTCCTCCCTCCTGTTCCCCAAGCGTTCTGCTTGTCCGATCGTGAAGATTCCTCAAGGGCATTTGCAGGAAAGATCCCTTCCAATTCAGAGGACCCCACATCCGGCTGTCAGCAGCCCCTCTGAGGGATCTTCCCTGGGGAAAAAGGGGCTTCAGTCTCCCGGAAGTTGATGGAGAGCTTAATCCCGGAGCCTATTGGTGACATCCAAACAGGTCCTGCTTCTCAGAGGGATCATTATCAACCCCGGGGAAGGACAACCGTGCCAGGAGCGCCCTTGTGAGCCGGGAAGGTTCCCGGCATCCAGAAGGCTGACCTCACCAAGCTGGCAGGACTGCAGGACAGATGACCCAGCACTGGGCTCCTTCCCAAAGTCCATCTGCACTGCAGTTCCCCCCTCTGGTTTTGGATCTCCTGGGTGCCAGCTGCATCCGGCTGTGCCAAGCAAGAGAGTCCAGTTCTAAACAGCTGCTTCTAGCCAACTGGGCCAGGGAAAAAACCAGAATAATAACAGAATGACAAGAGTTGGACGGGACCGTGGGGGTCTCCTAATCCAGCCCCCTGCTCAAGCAGGAGTCCCTGTATCATTTCAGACAAGTGACTGTCTAGTCCCATGGTAGCGAACCTATGGCACGCGGGCCACAGGTGGCACGCAGAGCCCTCTCTGTGGGCACGCGCGCCCTCGCCCCAGTCCTAGGCCTTCAGCTGGGTTTTATAAAACCTTTTCGCTTTAGCCTCCGCCGCCGTGTCCAAAAAATAAAAAAAGTTTCAATCAATCAATCAAATTCAACTTTTCACGGGAAAAAAAACAGACATTGCAAAGTTGGAATTGATTAATTGAACTTTTTAGTCCTACTCAGTGTGCCATTACCACCGCAGCCATGCCCACCCAATGGGCCATGCCCACCCAATGGGCCAGGTCCACCCAATGGGCCATGCCCACCCAGCACCCGACAATACATAAGTGGGTTTTGGGTTGCAGTTTGGGCACTCAGTCTCTAAAAGGTTCGCCATCATTGCCCTAGCCCAGTGGTTCTTAACCTTTTTGAACGAATGGCCCCCTTGAGCCAATGAGGAAGTTGTCATCGCCCCCCCTCCCCCAACATAACCTCTCAATCACAACATAGGAAATAATTCTTCAATTTATGCAAACACTTGTTTTGTTTTCTTTAAAATTGTCATCAGGACATATTGATGCAAATCATTTATTTCCAGTCTTTTTTCCATATCTCAACTGTGTGAAAAATTTTGGTGCCACCCGTCACTTTATTCCCAAACTTTGTGATACATGTATTTCATTATTATCTTATTGATTCAAGACACTTAAATGTAATGACCACTGAAAACAAAATTCAATTGCAAGAAAGTGAAGCGCCCGAAAAGAAAAACAGTAACAAAAGTGTCCCCAAAACCTCTCGCTCCGTCGCCCCCATATCGCCCCCTTTTCGTTCCTTTGCTCCCACGTTGCCCCTTTTCATTCCATTGCCCCCTGGGGGGCAATATTGCCCAGGTTAAGAACCACTGCCCTAGACCATTTCAGACAAATGGCTGTCTAGTCTCTTCTTAAAAATCTCCAGTGATGAAGCACCCACAACTTCTGGTGGCAAGCTGTTCCACTGGTTAATTGTCCTCACGTTAGGAAGTTTCTCCTTAGTTCCAAGCTGCTGCTTCTCTCCTTGACTAGTTTCCATCCGTTGCTTCTTGTCCTGCCTTCCGGTGCTTTGGAAAACAAGTTGACCCCCTCCTCTTCTTCGTGGCAGCCCCTCAAATATTGGAATACCGCCATCCTGTCCCCCTTAGGCCTTCTTTTCTTTAGACTGGCCATGCCCAGTTCCTGCAACCGTCCTTCTTAACGTTGGTTCACCTGGACCAGGGACTCCTTTGGGGCTGAGTCTTCTGAAACTGGCCCCTCCACCAGTTCCACCAAAGGGGCACCATGAGAGGCCCCTGGGCCACCTCTGGATGGAGAAGCTTCTGGAAGCATCCTAACAGAAGGCATTGCAGTCTTGGGGGGCCGTTGCAGATCAGGGTTTTCTGAGGCATCCCGACGTATAAAGCAGGGGTGTCCAACCTTGGCCGCTTTAAGACCTGTGGACTTCAATTCCCAGCATCCCCCAGCCAGCATATTGGCTGGAGAATTCTGGGAGTTGGAGTCCACACATCTTAAAGCTGCCAAGGTGGAGAAACACTGAGTACAGTACGGCTGTCCAAAGCTGGCCAGTTTAAGACCTGTGGACTTCAACTCCCAGAATCCCCCAGCCTGCCATGCAGGCTGGGGAATTCTGGGAGTTGAAGTCCACAGGTCTTAAAGTGCCCATGGTTGGATACCTGTGGTCTAAAAAGAAGGACTTCCTGCCCTTCTTGGTGGAATGCCCTGGCAGAGGAGTCCTTGGGCAAATGGTTTGTGTGTTGTGAGACCGTAACAATAAATGGGGTGTCCCTCTGTCCCTGACCCACAAGCAGGGAACCTCTGCTGTCACTCATCTCCCTGTTTCAGGTGGATCCTCCAGCTGGCAACGGCAGTTGGAAGTGGCAAGCCCTTGCCACGTTGGCTTCTTGACCTTCAACCAGGGCGTGGCGGTGCGTGGCACCGCCAGTCAGTCTGCCCTCCGGAGAGGCAGCCGGCCCAAGGTTGCCTCCCGTGCAGGATTTGCTGGGTTACCTTGGGGGGGGGGGAAGAGTGAGTCACACGTGTCCTATGCCCGTTTCCCCTTGGCTCTTTGCAAACTTCAGACTGAAGCTGTGGAAATCCTGCCTTGTATAACCCGCACTTTTGGCACCGCCAGGTCCCTCCGGTGGCTGGGAGGGGCGTCCTCTCCCTCCCCCCACCCATGGCACAGATGGCGCGAGTTTTGATCCTGCAAGTTTTGAACTTGGGGAGAGCCTTGGTAGCCCTGGTGGGCATCCCTGTGGTGCCAGGACTGCTGCCTTTCTAGTAATGGAGAATATTTCTAGCTTTGGGTTGAAGGGAGGGTCCTTTGGGCTCTCTGCACTGGGTGGTTTTCTTGCAGACGTTTCATGACCTGTCTAGGTATCATCATCAGCTTCCCTTCCTTCCTTCCTTCCTTCCTTCCTTCCTTCCTTCCTTCCTTCCTTCCTTCCTTCCTTCTTTGCTTGCTTGCTCATCAACCTTCCTTCCTTCCTACCTTCCTTCCTTCCTTCCTTCCTTCCTTCCTTCCTTCCTTCCTTCCTTCCTTCCTTTTCTACATCTTCCTTCCTTCCACATCAACCTTCCTTCCTTCCTTCCCTCCTTCCTTCCCCTTCCACATCAACCTTCCTTCTTTCCTACATCTTCCTTCCTTCCTTCCTTCCTTCCTTCCTTCCTTCCTTCCTTCCTTCCTTCCTTCCTTCCTTCCTTCCCTCCCTCCCTCCCTCCCTCCTTCCTTCCCCTTCCACATCAACCTTCCTTCTTTCCTACATCTTCCTTCCTTCCTTCCTTCCTTCCTTCCTTCCTTCCTTCCTTCCTTCCTTCCTTCCTTCCTTCCACATCAACGAACCTTCCTTCCTTCCTAAAATAAATACCAAATCATCAGCAAATGCTTGTAATTTATATGTTTCGCCTTTTATTTCTAGTCCTTTAATTTCTACATCTTGTCTAATATTTCTATTTAAAACTTCCAGAGTGAAAATAAATAACAATGGAGATAATGGACATCCTTGCCTTGTGCCTTTTCTTATCTCAAAGTTCTCAGCATAGTCTCCATTCACAATCACTTTCGCAGTTTGTTTATTATGTATTGTTTTTATCAAGTTTATCAAGTTCTGTCCAAAGTCCATTATTTGTAATTGCTGAATCATAAACTGCCAGGAAACATTATCAAATGCCTTTTGGGCATCTAGAAATATTAGTGCCAGTTGTTTCCCTGGATGTAATTCATAATACTCCAAGACATCCATTATCACTCTTAAATTATTTTTAATTTGTCTCTTTGGCAAAAAACCATTTTGGTCTAAATTCAGTTAAGAATCTTTTCAGTCTCTCTGCCATTATTGAACTAAAAATCTGAGTCTTCTTTTGGTATTAAGGTAATATTTGCTTCTATCCACGTATTTGGGTAAAAGTTTAGCCTCCAACAAAAGTTCATTGCAAACGTCTTTCAGCGGTTCAATTAGTATATCTTGTGAAGCTTTATATAACTCCGCCGATAGTCCATCTGGCCCCGGTGTTTTCTCATTTTTTTTCTTTTTGTCTTCTTATGGCCTCTGTTATTTCCATCATTGTTATTTTTTCCTCTAACATACTCTTACAGGTTTCTGAAAATTTTGGAAGGTTATTTTCTTCCAGATATTGGCTCATTCTCTCTCTTGGAATTTCTTCTATGTCATACAGTTTCTTGTAATATTCTTTGATTATCTTTTTTATTTCTTCGTTTTTAAATTGTAGGCAACCTTTTTCATCTACTAACTTATTTATCATTTTCTTCTCTTTCTGTTTTTCAAGTTTATAAGCTAGCCATCTTCCTGGTTTATTTGCATTTTCAAAAAAGTTTTGTTTTGCTCGTTTTATTTGCTGGGCCACTTTTTCTGAATCCAACAGATTCAGTTTGTGTTTTATTGTTTCCATTTCTCTTTTCAGAATCTTCTTTTGAGGATTCATTTGTAGTTCTGATTCTAGTTTTTCAATTTTTTCTTTTAATAGTACATATTGCTGTCTTTTCTGTTTTTTGGGTTTTTTTGCCGTGTATGTTATAGCTATATCTCTAAATTATGCTTTGGCTGTATCCCATACATTTTGTAATGTTGTAGTAGCTTCTTTTTTGTTTTCTTTGAAGAAAAACTCCATTTTTTTTGCTAGTTCTATAAATTCTCTTTCTTTTAATATAGATTGGTTCAAAGTCCATCTTGATTTTTTTTGTCTTCCTTTCCACCTGGTTCTATCTCAATTTCCTGCATATTTATCCTCAGTTCAGATGTCATCCAGATCATATCGATTCTGGACCAAGATTTTTGACTTTTCGATTAAAATGTATATTGTAATTTTTCTGGATTAATTTCCCTCCAAACATCTTGTATTTCAATTTCTTCTATCATATTAAAAAAGGTCTTAGGTAATCTTCTTCTTCCAGTTTTTCCTATTTTACTATTTTTATAGTCTAATGTCCCATCCACTATCACATTAAAGTCTCCTACTAAACAAATATTTTGGTACTCCATTTCTATTATTTTTCTATGGAGAATTTGATAGAATTCTTCCTGGTTATTATTTGGTGCGTAGATTACTACTGACAATGTTTGTTTTTGATGTAAGTATATTTCTACCATCACAATTCTTCTTTCTTCATCTGAATAAATCATTTTAGAATCTTTAATATATACAGCAACATTTCTTTTTTTCTGTTGTGCTGATGCATAATAAAGTTTCCCAATTTTGGGGTATTCCAACAGCTTATAATATTGTTTTCTTTATATGTGTCTCTTGCAAACAAATTATATTTAATTTCTGTAGTTTTCTAAAAAATTAGGTTTTTTTTTTGATGGGGAGTTTAGTCCATTTATATTCACTGAAAAAAATCCATTTTCTTTCTCCATTTCAATTATTTATATTTAGGTCTAGTCCAGTGGTGGCAAACCTATGGCATGCGTGCCACAAGTGGCACGCAGAGCCTTTTTTGTGGGCACATGTGGCATTGCCCCAGTTCTAGGCCTTCAGCTGGGTTTTATAAAACCTTTTCGCTTTAGGCCTCTGCCACCGGCAAAAAAAAAAAAGCTTAATCAATTTCAACTTCTCATGGGGAAAAAAAAGATCTCGCAAAGTTAGAATTGATTCATTGAACTTTTTAGTCCCAACCAGTCTGCTGTTACCACCGCAGCCACGTCCACCCAACAGGCCATGCCGCACAATTGACCACACCCACCCAATGGGCCATGCCCACCCGGCACCTGATGATACGTAAGTGGGTTTTGGGTTTCAGTTTGGGCATTTGGTCTCTAAAAGGTTCGCCATCACTGGTCTAGTTGATCTCGTGATCCTCTGTTCTCTGGCGGTTCCTTCACGATCAGATTTCTCTTTCTGTTCTCCTGTTTGTATAATTACTTGTTCGGTTGCTTCTTCTCTTTGTTTCTGATCTTTTCTCTCCTCTTGTTGATGTTGCACTCCTTCATCTAAGAATGCTCGGTTTCTTTCATCAAAATCTTCTGCTTTCCAAACTGAATCCAATCGGTATTTTGTATTATTCTAGTTGATTAAAATCCCTTCTGGCATTAACCATCTGAAATTTATGCTTTTTGCAATCAGCTTTGTAGTTAAGAACTTATATTGTCTTCAAGTATCTCTTACTCTCTTGGGTATCTTTAAGACCACAATTTCTTTATTTTTGTATTGTAATAGTTCATCTCTAACTTTTCTCAGTATTTCATCTCCTGTTTTCTTTATAAATCTCACATGCACTTCTCTGGGTAGTTTGCCTTTCCTTGTGTAGCTTGAATTCATTCAAAATATTTCATCTATCTCCATTTGCATCTCTGCTCTGTCTGCTTTCAAAGCCTCTGCCAGGAGATCAATAATCACAATTGCTATATTTTCTTCTCTGTTTTCAGGAATATTTTGAAAACTTAAGTAGTGTTCCGCTTTCTCTATTTCTAAGATTGCCACTGCTCCTTCTAGATTTTGCTTTGCTTGTTCTAATTTTTCATTTTCTTGCATTAGTATTTCCATTTTTTTGTCAATATCATCTGATCTATTTTCCATTTACTGAATTCTTTGTTCATTTTTAACAATCATTTGGTGGTGGACTTCAAATTGTGTCTTTATGTCCGAGATTTGTTCGTTTAATTTATCAAAGTTACTTTTTGTCTCTTCATGATTTTTTTGTATTGATTCTTGAATTAATTTTAATATAGTTTGCATCTCATTTTGAGTGGTGCTTATTTTCTCACACTGCAACATTGTTTCAATAAATCCCTGGGTTGGGCTAGATCAGTGGTTCTCAACCTTTTTAATACCGCGACCCCCAACCGGTCGTAAGTCGAGGACTACTCAACTGGTGCAGCACCGTTTGCAGAATGGGACTTTTGGCAGGGCAGCAGGGCAGAGACAGCCTGGACAATTCCTATTGGCTTTTGAAAGCCAATAGAATTAGACTCTATCATCTTTCAAAAGCCAATAGAATAAAAGGGAGTAGCACAGCTAAGGAAAAGGGGGAAAAAAATGGCGGACTGCGTTGTTTGGTGACCCCCGTGAAATGGTCATTCGACCCCAAATGGGGTCCCGACCCACAGGTGGAGAACCACTGGGCTAGATGTTCCAACAAAGGGCGCAGAGGGAAATGGTACAGGGTTTCCTGCCTGAATGGGGTTAGACTAGATGACCTCCAAAGTACCCTTCTCCTCCTCCTCCTTCTTCTTCTCCTTCTCCTCCTCCTCTTTCTTCTTCTCCTTCTCCTCCTCCTCCTCCTCCTCCTCCTCCTCCCCCCTCCTCCTCCTCCTCTTCTTCTTCTTCTTCTTCTTCTTCTTCTTCTTCTTCTTCTTCTTTCTTCTTCTCCTCCTATTTCTCCTTCTTTTCTCCTTCCTTCCTTCCTTCCTTCCTTCCTTCCTTCCTTCCTTCCTTCCTTCCTTCCTTCCTTCCTTCCTTCCTTCCTTCCTTCCTTCCTTCCTTCTTCCCTCTTCCTTCTCCTCCTCCTCATCCTCTTTCTCCGTTGTTGTTGTTATTATTATTTCTGTAGAAGTTTCGTATGTAATTATATGGATAGTGTATTTGTCCTCTGTCAGTAAATTCAGTAAATAATACAGGCAGTCCTCAACTTATAACAATTCATTCAGTGACCGTTCAGAGTTACGACAGCCCTGACAAAAGTGACTTACGATCGTTTTTTCACCCATCCCCTGTGATCACGTGATCAAAATTCGGACGCTTGGCAACTGACACATATATACGACGGCCGCAATGTCCCGGGGTCACACGATCCCCCTTTTGCAACCTACTGGCCAGGGAAGTCAGTTGGGAATCCAGATTCACTTAACGACCGTGTTACTCGCTTAACGGCTGCGGTGGTTCAGCTGCATGATCCGCCCTGGCTCCGGGTGGATCGGGCCCCCGTCCCCTTCCCGCCTGACCTCTCTTGTCTCCCGCAGGTCCTCAGCAACGCCCGGCTCTTCCTGGAGAACCTCATCAAGTAAGTGCCAGGCCCCCTCCCTGCCGGGAAGGGGTGGTCAGAAAGGGACCACCGCCCGAAGGTCCCTTCCAGGGGGCAAAAGGGTTGCCCTTCGCAAGAGATCGCCCTGGGGGTGCCAAGCCAGTGCATGCTGGCTGAGGAATTCTGGGAGTTGAAGTCCACAGGTCTTAAAGTTGCCAAGGTTGGGGACCCCTGCTGTATGGAACAAAGCTGTGACTGAATGGAGTAGGAAAGGGGGTGACCTCCCCCCCCACCCCCAGGTTCTGCTCCTCCTGCAGCCCTATGCCAGGGTACCAGGCTATACCAGGGTACCACAGAAACAGCCTGGCGTCTTTCTATTTCTGGCAGATTGGCAAGGCTGGTGCTGCCACCCTGTGGCTCCCCATGGCTCTGCATGCCCTCAGTCTCCTGCTGCCTGCCTGGCAAGAGGCAGCCCCTTGCAGGGGTCGTGGGGGGGGGGGGGCTTGGGCTCTGACACAGGAGGGAGCCATTTTTAAGTTTGCCCTGAAAGACACGTTCCAGGGACAGCCACATCCTGCAGGTGGACCACCATGCTGGCCCAGAACGGGAGCTACCAACGTCCCTTAGAGAAGCAGGCCACATTGGTGTCCCCCACACTGCCCACTAGCCCCACTTCCCAGCTGGGCCTCCTCTCCTCCCTTCCAAATGGAGACTCAGCCAGCTGAGGAATTCTGGGAGTTGAAGTCCACAAGTCTTAAAAGGGGCCAAGGTTGGTTTAGAGCAGTGTTTCTCAACCTTGACCATTTTAAGGCATGTGGACTTCAACTCCCAGAATTCCACAGCCAGCAATGCTGGCTGTGGAATTCTGGGAGTTGAAGTCCACATGCCTTAAAATGGTCAAGGTTGAGAAACACTGGTTTAGAGGCTGATTTGCTTCAGAGCCTCCATTGTGGCATTTGGTGACCTCAAAGGTGGTAGTAGTAGTAGTAGTAGTAGTAGTAGTAGTAGTAGTAGTAGTAAGTAGTAGTAGTAGTAATAATAATGAAGTTGGAAGGGACGTTGGAGGTCATCTAGTCCAACCCCCTGCTCAGGCAGGAAACCCTATACCATTTCGGACAAATGGCTGTCCAGTCTCTTCTTAAAAACTTCTAGTGTTGGAACATTCACCACTTCTGGAGGCAGGTTGTTCCACTGGTTAATTGTTCTCATTGTCAGGAAGCTTCTCCTTAGTTCCAGGTTGCTTCACTCCTTAGTTTCCACCCGTTGCTTCTTGTCCTGCCTTCAGGCGCTTTGGAGAATAGCTAGACTCCCTCTTCTTTGGGGCAGCCCCTGAGATACTGGAAAACTGCTATCCTGTCCCCCCTCGTCCTTCTCTTCATTAAACTAGACATCCCCAATTCCAGGTTTCCCTCTCCACTCCAGTCTGGAGTCTCCTGCAGCTACAGTGCTGCATGCACATAAAATACTTCTCTGCAACTCCTTCTCCTACAGGGGGCACTTTCACAAAAGGGAGAAATTTGTGCAGTGCTCGCTGCGCATGCACCCCTCCAGTGCACAACGCAGCCTTGTGTATGAAGCAAAGCATGGTTAGACCATTTCCTTACTGGGGGGGGCAGGCCCCTCCCTTCCTCTTGCTTAAGAATCCTGGAATCCTCTGGGAAAGATTTTTTTTGGGGGGGGGTGCAGTGTTCAAACTACAGAGGACTAACATTGATGATGATACCTAGTTTGGGTAATGAAATATCTGCAAGAAAACAAGCAGGTTCAGAGAGCCCCAAGGACGCCTTAAAGTGCAGAAATCTGGGCTGCAAATAGATAACACTTTGCTGGGGGCAAGGGGGGGGGGGCTGACAGGCTGCCACATCTCTCAGCAGACTGCCCCTCCTTCCCCCACTCCCCCCACCCCATTTGGCCTGCAGCCAACGAGATTCTTTACTTTTCAGGTATGGCATCCTTGTGGACCCCATCCAAGTCACCTCCTTGTTTCTGAAGGATCCCTACAGCTGGCCAGCGCCATGCCTTGTTATTGGTGAGCCAGCTTTGCCTCCCCCCTTTTCTGCCCTTCCTTTGGGGGAGGGGGAGTTCCTACTGCCTCTGTATCACTTGAACCCCTGAAATTTTGCTGGGAGGGGGGAGGTCCAGTTCAGGACACCCCGGCATGACACGGGGAAGGCCAAGGGTGTGTTCCGGCAGAAAGGGGCTTTGCATAGGTTTCGTGGAAGCCTGAGGCCTTTGGGGGAGCGGGGGGGCACATTTGGGGCTGGCTTGTGGGCGACCAAGACCCCCATTCTTGTGCTTTTCTTTCCAGGGGCCAACGGCTTCGCGCTGGTCGCTCTGCACCTGGAGAAGAAGCTGGCGGCGGTGAGCAGGGGGCGACGTCCCTTGGCTTTTATTCCCTTTCCTTTATTTATTTGCAGATCAATTAACTCAGTTAACTGTTGTCACTGGGCAAGGATCAGTGGCTTATTGCTTTCTAGTGTTTTATGTTAGGTTTTTATCTTTGCAAGCCACCCGGGGCTCACTTGGGCAGCCCTATAAATATTCTTAATTAAATCAATGTCAAATTTAGAGACTCTCGTCTCACTCACACTCACTCAGGTCTTCTCCTGGAAATTTGGCATTCGGTGGTTTAAGCAGAGGCAGTCCTCAACTTACAGCAATTCCCTTAGTGATGGTTCAAAGTCACAACACCACTGGAAAAAGTGGCTTATGACCGTTTTTCACACTTAACGGCCGTTGCAACAGCCTCAAGGTCGCGTGATCAAAATTCGGACGCTTGGCAACTGACTCGTACTTGACGACGGTCGCCGTGTCCCGGAGTGGCGCGATCCCCTTTTTATGACCGTCTGACAAGCCAAGTCAGCGGGGGGAGCCAGATTTCACTTAACAGCCATGTCGCTAACTTAACAACCACAGGGATTCACTTATAAACTCACTTGTAACAGCTATCTTGTTTAGCAAGGGAAATTTGGCCTCCGTTGTGGCTGTAAGTTGAGGACTAGTGGAATCCTTTGCCCTTTGTGGCCTTTGAGAACAAAATCTTGAGCAAAAGAGCCAGTGGGTGGGTGGGTGGGTGGGTGGGTGGTTGCTGGTTATTGTGATGGTTATTGTGGGTTTGTGTGTGGTGTCTCCAGCTTTCTTTCATGGTGACCCTTTCAGGGCAATTCATGGGTAAAGACTGGATGTAGACAACTTTCAGACCTGTGGACTTCAACTCCCAGAATTCCCCAGCCAGTGCATGCTGGCTGGGGAATTCTGGGAATTGAAGTCCACAAGTGTTAAAGTGACCACAATTGGACAATGTTACAATGTTCCTGATGGGGTCTGGTATATAGATTTTAAGCCAGAATTATTTTTGTTAGGTGTAATTGTAGGAAATTATGAGAAAGAATGTATATATTTCATATTACATGTATTAACTACAGCAAGAGTTGTATTCGCTCAACATTGGAAAAATGCAGAATTACCAAAGGAGGAAGAGTTAATCAAAAAAAATTCTAGATTGTGCAGAAATGGACAGGTGGACATTGAAAATGAAAGAGAAAGAAGCTCAGTATACTTTAGAACAGGGGTCTTCAAACTTGGCCCTTTCATGACTTGTGGACTTCAACTCCCAGAATCCCTCAGCCAGGCATGCTGGCTGAGGAATTCTGTGAGTTGAAGTCCACTAGTCATAAAATAAATCTTTATTGATTAGCCCTTGAGCCATATCCAAGTGCAAAGTTCCAGCAACAAATTATTACTAAAGTTTGATAAAAGCAATTTAAAATGAAATTCGATAAAATACAATTTAAAATGGGATTAGAGCAGTGTTTCTCAACCTTGACAATTTTAAGGCATGTGGACTTCAACTCCCAGAATTCCACAGCCAGCATCCTCATTGCTGGCTGTGGAATTCTGGGAGTTGAAGTCCACATGCCTTAAAATTGTCAAGGTTGAGAAACACTGGATTAGAGTAAAATACGACTTAAAATGGAATCGGAAGAAAATACAGTCTGAAATGAAACTAAAACAGAGCACCGTAATTTAAAATATAGATAAAATATGATAAAATTATATCGCTAAATTATATATTTAGAACACGGGATACTTTTTATCAATGGCTAGAGAGAAAGGAACTTAATATGTATTAGGAAGTTAAATATTGGAACCCAGACAATATGTTGCTGATAAAATATTAAGAACTCTGTGTGTGTGTGTGTGTGTGTGTGTGTGTGTGTGTGTGTGTGTGTGTGTGTAAGGCATTGATATTGTACCTTTCCAGATCAGATTTGAGTCAGAATGAGAATTACAATGTTCCTGGTGGGGTCTGGGCTGTGCTTAAACCTTTGGGGGTTGGGGGGGGCTCTGATTCTGTGTATTAAGATGAGCCCCTTTCCTATGTGCTTCAGGGCTCCTTATCAGAGCGCAGCGGGACCGTCCTGCACATATTCAACCTGCTGATGGTCTTGTGCTTCCCGGCCCTGGTGGTGCTGGCGGTCACCACCATCACGCCAGGTGGGTGCTGTCCGGTGATGGGCGCCTGGCCGGCCAGGATGTCTTGTGGGAATGGGCTGGGTGGGGGTCTTGGGGCAACCTGGTGCTTGGACTGTCTTGCCTGAACACAGCCTGCTCTGCTCCCTGTGAGCTGTTCGTGGATGGGGCTGCATCTCTCCTCCAGGTTGGCCAAGGAACCACAGCATAAGAGATGTTGGAAGGGACCTTGGAGGTCTTCTAGTCCAACCCCTTGCTCAAGCAGGAGAACCTATACCATCTCAGACAAGTGGCTGTCTAGTCCAGGGGTCTTCAAACTTGGCCCTTTTATGACTTGTGGACTTCAACTCCCAGAATTCCTCAGCCAGGCATGAGGAATTCTGGGAGTTGAAGTCCACAAGTCACAAAAGGGCCAAGTTTGAAGACCCCCGGTCTAGTGTCTTTTTTTAAAAACCTCCAGTGATGGAGCACCCACAACTTCTGGTAGCAAACTGTTCCACTGGCTGATTGTTCTCCCAGTCAGGAAGTTTCTCCTTAATTCCAGGTTGTTTCTCTCCTTGATTAGCTTCCATCCGTTGTTTCTTGTCCTGCCTTCAGGCGCTTTGGAGAATAGCTTGGACCCCTCCTTTTCTTTGATGTAGCCCCTCATGTCCTCCCACCCCCAAGTCCTTCTGATCATGGCCCACCAGATGTTTGGGCTCATTTAATAATAATAATAGTAAAGTTGGAAGGGATCTTGGAGGTCATCTAGTCCAACCCCCTGCTCAGGCAGGAAACCCTATACCATTTCAGACAAATGGCTGTCCAGTCTCTTCTTAAAAACTTACAGTGTTGGAACATTCAGCGCTTCTGGAGGCAGGTTGTTCCACTGGTTAATTGTTCTCACTGTCAGGAAATTTCTCCTTAGTTCTAGGTTGCTTCTCTCCTTGGTTAGTTTCCATCCGTTGCTTCTTGTCCTGCTGTTTCATTGTTCGGGAGAGAAGGAAGAATCTGGGGGACACGAGAGGCTGCTTCAGTTCCCGAGGCCGCAGTGGACCTCTTCCTTGCAGCCTTCTAGAGCAGGGGTCCCCCAACTCCCCAGTCCGTGGGCCACAGCATACCAGCAACCGGTCTGCACAAACAAGCAAAGCCCCATCCGTGGGATGCAGGCAGCACATAAAACCACGCTCTCTCTGGTCCGTGGAAAAACCTCTCTCCACGGAACCGGTCCCTGGTGCCCAAAAGGTTGGGGGGACCTCTGATCTAGAGGCATCCTGTCCAGACAGCTTCGCCCCGTCCTTTCCTTCCCAGCTGAGTCTTGGATTCTTCACCAAGGCCACGAATTCTTCAGGGCTATCCCACCTCAGAGACCACGTGATCTGTGTCTCCTCTCACCCTCCCTTTCTTATCCTCTTCCACAGTTGGGGCTGTTTTTGCCCTCTCCGTCCACACCGTTCTCTTCCTCAAGCTCTTCTCCTTCAGGGATGTCAACAAGTGGTGCCGCCAGAAGCAGTCAGCAAAAGCCGCCCGAGGGCACACAGGTGAGCACGGAGGGACCTCTTCTGATCTGGGTTCCTCAGCAGGCCCACGGGTTGGGATGGCCCAAGTGGGAGGACTAGCATGGGGGGAGGAAGGGGTGCTTTGTGGGGAGGGAGAGAGAGAGAAGCAGGTGGCCGAGGAACATCTGGTTTGTGGGTCCAGCTACTGATGGTTGAGTTAGTGGCCTTTGGGAAGGAGATGTTTTGGTTGAGGAACGTCAACCTTCCTGTATTGGTGCTTAGGGGTGGTAGCATTTCAATGGCTGTTCTTCAGACTGAAGGTCTCTGGAGATTCTCCACCACCCAGGTCATGGTTGTCCCAAGAGGCAAGTGGACTTTCTTGTTGTTTTTTTTCCCTTTGAGGAAGTTTCGCTCCTCATCCAAGAAGCTTCTTCAGCTCTGACGGGATGGTGGGAAAGGATTTATATTCCTTCCTGGCCCTTTGCATCCTTTTAGACAGTCGTTGAGGCCACCTGGAGGCTCACCTGTGTCCTCAGGGTCACCTGAGTGAAATAAATGGGTGTGGAGCCTTCTTGGGACTGTTGAAAGGACGGTGTGGTAGACTGGAGATAGAGGATGTCCTATCCCTCCCCCTCCACCACACAGTCCTTTCAACACTTCCAGGAAGGCTCCACACCCATTTGCACCACTCAGGTGACCCTGAGGACACAAACAAACCTCCAGGTGGCCTCAACGACTCTCTAAAAGGATGCAAAGGACCAGCTGTCCGCAAGGAGTATAAATCCTTCCATTCCCCACCCTCCAATCAGCTGAAGAAGCTTCTGGGAGGAGAAGCGAAACGTCTTCAGAGAAAAACAAGAGAGTCCAGTTGCTTCCTGAAAAAGCATCTTTGGGATGCTCTTGAGTGAACTTCTCCCAGTCTGGCTGATGGGGGAGTCTGCCAATGCTGCCTCGGGACACCCCCAGGTGGGCTGAGATGGAAACTTCTGGCCTGCTGCGTGTTACTCCTTCTCCATGCTCAATTCAGGGGTCCTGCCTGCCTCTTGCCTGGCACAAGCCACTTCCGGGCCTTCCAGGGTCCCCCCCCATCCCATGGGTAGGCAACCTTGGCCCTTTTATAACTTGTGGACTTCAACTCCCAGAATTCCTGAGCCAGCCATGCTGAGGGGAAAGGGAGGTTTCCAAGCTGAGTCATGCTGGCTCAGGAATTCTGGGAGTTGAAGTCCATGAATCATAAAAGAGCCAAGTTTGAAGACTCCTGTCTTAAATCTAACAAACAAAATGGAGGCTGGCTGAGGAATTCTGGGAGTTGAAGTCCACCAGTCATAAAAGAGCCAAGGTTCCTCACCCCTGGTCTAGGGCAGGGGTAGGCCACCTTGGCTCTTTTATGACTCCCAGAATTCCTGAGCCAGCCATGCTGAGGGGAAAGGGAGAGGTTTCCAAGCTGAGCCATGCTGGCTCAGGAATTCTGGGAGTTGAAGTCCACCAGTCATAAAAGGGCCAAGGTGGCCTACCCCTGGTCTACATTATGGGTGTCCAACCATGGGAACATTAAGACTTTGGACTTCAACTCCCAGAATTCCTGAGCCAGCCATGCTGAGGGGAAAGGGAGAGTTTCCAAGCTGAGCCAGGCTGGCTCAGGAATTCTGGGAGTTGAAGTCCACCAGTCACAAAAGGACCAAGGTTGCCTACCTAAGCAGTGGCAGGTTGTGCACCCGAAGGGACGAGCTGGCTTGTGCCTGACCGGTGTTTCCCTCAGAGATGGTGGAATAGGAGGGGGGGTCTCTCCCTGGACCAGCTGGACCACCACCATGATCACAGTCTCTCTCTCTCTCTCTCTCTCTGTTCCAGCTCCAGGGCCGCAGAAAGCCAATGGGAACGTGACTCCACAAGAGGTGGCCTATCCAGACAACCTGACTTACAGAGGTGAGGAGACCGGGGGGTCTCGTGGGAGGGGCGGGAACCGAGTGGGATGCGGTGGTCGGGGGGCCGTGGATAACGGCGTCTCGTTCCATCCCCCCCCAGTCTGGATGGCGACATGGCCGTGTCCTCCCCCTCCCCTTCGGCTCTCTCTTTTCTCCGTGGAAGGCGGATGCCATCCTTCGCTTTCGGCCCCCGATAAGGGTCCCCCTCTCCCCCCCTGCAGATCTCTACTACTTCTTGCTGGCCCCCACGCTGTGCTACGAGCTGAACTTCCCCCGTTCCCCACGGATCCGCAAGCGCTTCCTTCTGCGGCGGCTTTTTGAGATGGTGAGCCTCTTTCTGGGGAGGGGTCCTCCCTCCAGCCCCGGGGGCGGGGCGGGGGGGTTAGAAGGAGGAGTGACTTATGACCGTTTTCCACACTTAACGACCGTTGCAGCACCCCCCCCCCCGTGGTCACGGAATCAAAATTCGGACGCCTGGCGGCTGGTTCCTATTTATGACGGTCGCGGCGTCCCCAGAGGACGCGCTCCCCTTTTGCGACTGGCTGACAATAAAATTTAAGGGGAAACCAGATTCGCTTCACAACCGTGTGACAAACTTAACCACGGCAGCGATCCGCTATAACAACTGTGGGAAGAAAGGTCGTAAAACGGGGCGGAACCTGCTTAGCAGCTGTCTCGCTTAGCAACGGAAATTTGGGGTCGTAAGCGCCGATCGATTGGGGGGAGGCCACCCGTGATCGTCTCTGTGGGGCGGCTGAGTTTAGAAACGAGCTGCACGGGCAGCGTTGGTCCTCGGAGGCGCCTCGGTCATCCAGGCTGACCCCGAGCGGCTGGGTGGGACCACAGCCGGGCCCTTCTGCAACCGGAGCGGGTCCGTTGGGTCAGTAGCTGTCAGATTGGAGGCTCTGGCCGCTTCTCCGGTGAGTCCTCGGCCAGGGCTTCCCTGGGGAAAGGGCCCCGGGCTCAAGAGGCTGCAGGCGGGCACTTAGAGCAGTGTTTCTCAACCTTGACAATTTTAAGGCATGTGGGAGTTGAAGTCCACATGCCTTAAAATTGTCAAGGTTGAGAAACATGGCTTAGAGTGATGGGAAGCGGTTGGGTCAGAGGGTGCTGCTGGTTGCACTCACCATGGCTTCTCTCCTCCTCCTCCTCCAGCTCTTCCTCCTGCAGCTGCTGGTGGGGCTGATCCAGCAGGTGAGTGGGGGGCTCTGGGCCTGCCCTCTTTCCCCGTGACTGGGAGGGTGAGCCAGGGGGAGGGGGGGCTTCCCCTGGCTTTTCGCAAGGATACCTTGCTCTTCACGGGGCAGGGGGTTTCTGGAGCAGCCCAGATCTGGGGAGGGAGTGGGGGGGGTGGCCCTGGGAGGCTGCAGGACTGCCCCCTCCCTTCCCAGAGAGGGTTGCTGTGCCCTTTGGGGCTGGGGACCCAAAGCCAGCACTTGGCCCTGCGTTGGGCTGCTGGTGCTTCTGAATTGAGACTGGCCAGGCGCTCCGATCCTGACTTGGGGAGGGGTCTCCCCGGCCTTTTGGAGGGGAGGTGGTGGGCTCCAGTGGTGTGGAAGTGAGCCCAAGGCCCCTGAGGCTTCCTCAGGCTTGGTTCAGAGTTGCAGACTTGAAGGCTGGGAGGGTGGGACCATCCCAAGGTCAGGCCCCCCTTCCCCAGCCTGAATGGACCAGAATGGCTCCTTCTGGTCAAGGCTGCTCTGGAACAGCCCTGCAGCTGTTGGGTCTCATTGGCAAGGACCTTGAACAGCTGGAGTTCCTGTGCATGCGAAGAGGGTCCCCCGCGGCACCTTGTTCTCCTGCCCAGGGAGCAGTCCGAGTCCCAGGGCAGGAGATCCACTCTTAGGGGTTGGTTAGGCCCGGACAACATGGCCCATAAGCGACTTGTCTCTGGTGTTCCTCTTCTAGTGGATGGTGCCCACAATTCAGAACTCCATGAAGCCCTTCCGGGTAAGCTCTGCTTTTCTTATTCCCTCGCTGACGGTCCCTGGAGCACCAGGGACTAGAATCTTGCATGGATAAAGGAGAACCTTTGTACCTCAGGGTGGAAATGGATGATATTCCCTAGTTGGGTCATGAAACGTCTGCAAGGAAACAACCAAGCTCAGAGAGCTGCAGGCACTCTCTATAATCCTCCTCCCCCCCCCTCCTCCTCCTCCCAACATCCAACTAGCATGGATGATATTCCCTAGTGGGGGTCACGGAAGGCCTGCAAGGAAACAACCCAGCACCCAAGTTCAACAGGATCAAAGATCAACAAGCCAGAAAGAGAACGAAAAGACCCAAAACACCTCCCCACCGGCAGTCACCCCCCCCCCCCAGATGAGCACAGATTTAACTCGGTCAAGATGTAAACAGTCCCCCAATTCAAGGCCCTGGCAAGCCAGCCGGGAGTAAACAGCCCAACTAAAGAACCTGCAAGACCGTTCCCTCTAACACGGAGAGGGCAAGCCCCTAGGACAGGGGTCTTCCAACGTGGCCCTTTGATGGCTTGTGGACTCCTGGCTGAGGAATTCTGGGAGTTGAAGTCCACAAGTCATCAAAGGGCCACGTTTGAAGACCCCTGCCCTAGCATGTGAACTTTCAAGCCCTGGTGACGTTACCTAGTTTGGGTAACGAAACGTCTGCATAAAAACACCTCAGAGAACAGCAAAGACCCCTCAGAAGCTTGTCTGTTTTGAGGGGAGGGCACATCTGCGGAAGACGCCTCTTCTAAGATACCTCATTGTAAGGACCCCCTCCTAATTGCTCGTGGTAAAAATAGCCCTGCTTTCTCCCATGTGGAGGACCTCTCTATGGTTGAACCTCGCATCTGTCTCCTGCAGGGGAAGAGTGGGACCTGCTTCTCAGTAGGGGGCAAGGGAAAGCATTTTGATTCCCCCCCCCCCCCGGTTTGTCTTTTCTCCAACCCTGCGGGCTCCGTGTCTAAGCACACTGAACAGTATTTCTCAGCTGTCCGTTTTAATACAACAACACAGCTGGAAGGGGGACCTTGGAGGTCTTCTAGTCCATCCCCCTGAATAGCTATCCCATTCCAGATTAATAGCTGCCCAGTTTTTAAAAATCTCCACTGATGGAGCACCCACAACTTCTGGAGGCAAATTCCAGATCTGGAAATTTCAGTAATCGCCTGGCTGGCTAGGAAATTAACGAATGGGGAAGCCCACAGGTCTAGAAACTTGGGAGATTCAGAGCCCGATACGCCTCAGCCAATCTAGAGGAGACCTTGGGGTTAATGTTGAGCAGCCGGGAGAGATGGGGGGGGCACGGCTGCCTTGGGGAAGGAGAAGACTGAAGCTACTCTTGGTTTGCAGGACATGGACTACTCCAGGATGATTGAGCGTCTGCTGAAGCTAGCGGTAAGTACCACAAATGGCTGGCTAGGGATCCTGGGAGCTGTAGTCTCCACTTGGAAGGCAGGAGAGGAGGCTCAGCTGGGAAGTGGGGCAGTGTGGGGGACACCAACGTGGCCTGCTTCTCCAAGGGAAGTTGGTAGCTCCAGTTCTGGGCCCAGGGTGATGGTCTACCTGCAGGATGTGGCAGTCCCTGGAAGTCTCCAAACAGGGCCGCTCTAAGACATGTGGACTTAAACTGAAACTTAAACTTAAACTCCCAGAATTCCCCAGCCAGCACATGTCATAGAGTCCAAACTGGTCATAGAAAGTGCCTAGAAAATCTCTTTTCGTAGGACTATATCTCAATTGGAAAAGAGGCGTTGCAGGCAACCTCAGCCATGTTATGACGTATGGACTTCAACTCCCAGAATTCCCCAGCCAGCCATGCTGGCTGGGGAATTCTGGGAGTTGAAGTCCACCCGTCTTAAAGGGGCCCTGTTGGGAGCCTCCCGCTGTGGAGGAAGCCAAGAGCACCAACGGGCCTCCTTTGTCTCGTGTCCCTGCAGGTTCCCAATCACCTGATCTGGCTGATCTTCTTCTACTGGTACTTCCACTCCAGCCTGAACTTTCTAGCCGAGATCTTGCAGTTTGGGGACCGAGAGTTTTACCGGGATTGGTGGTGAGTCAGCCGGTGTGTCTTTGTGCGTGGGATCTTTGTGAACGGGCCACTTGTAGGACTCCCTCCGACTTGGCACTTTGAGATGGTCCAGAGTGATCCTAATGGCATTGGATCGCTTGCATTTCGGCAGTAAATGGAAGCTATGAATGCTTCAACACTGGGAGTTTTTAAGAAGAGACAGGACAGCCGTTTGTCTGAAATGGTATAGGGTTTCTTGCCTGCACGGGGTTGGACTAGATGACCTCCAAGGTCCCTTCCTACTACTACTACTACTACCTCTTCCTTCCCCTTCTCCTCTTCCTCCTCCTTCTCATTATTATTATTGTTGTTGTTATTACAAGTAACTCCCTTTGGATGAGCAAAGGGAAGGGGTTTTTCCACATCCCCTAAATGGGCTACGGTAATAAGACAAAGCAGATGTTTCAATCAGTCAGAATAGAGCTGGAAGGGACCTCAAAGGTCCTCTAGTCCAACCCCCTGCTCAAGGCAGGAGACCCTATACCATTTCAGACAAGTGACTGTTCAGTCTCTTCTTAAAAACCTCCCGTGTTGGAGCACCCACAACTTTTGGAGACATTAGGAAATGTCTCCTTAGTTCTAGCTTGCTTCTCTCCTTTTAAAGAGCTTTCCACCTATTACTTCTTGTCCAGAATAAAATGCAAAATAACAGAGTTGAAAGAGACCTTGGAGGTCTTCTAGTCCAACCCCCTGCTCAAGCACAAAATCCCATACCATTTCAGACAAGTGGCTGTTCAGTCTTCTCTTAAAACCCTCCAGTGTTGGAGCACCCATAACCTCTGGAGGCAAGCAGTTCCACTGGTCAATTGTCCTCACAGTCAGGAAGTTCCTCCTGAATTCCCGGTTGCTTCTCTCCTTGATGAGTCCCCCCCCTGTTCCTTCTTGTCTTGCTTTCTGGAGACACTTTCAACCATCTCCCACCCACCACCTCCTCTTCAGTTGAACACAAGACCTGCCTAGATCAGCCTTGTCTTGGAGAGTGAGGGCTCCAGACGGTGGGAGACCACCAGAAAGGGCGGGGAGTTGGGGATGAGGGTCTTACTGCAAAGGGAACCTGCCCCCGTGCAAAGGAGAGGGGAGAGGGCTTATGAGCATAGAGATGCCCCATCGTTTCTAGACCGGCCTTTCGCTCCCATGCCTCTTCTGATCCTGCTGCTCCTTTGCAGGAACGCGGAGTCAGTGACCTACTTCTGGCAGAACTGGAACATCCCCGTCCACAAATGGTGCCTGAGGTAGGACATCCGAGCCCCAGGTGGTCCTTACACCCATTCGTTTAGTGACTGTTCAAAGTTACACAGTGAGCAGTTTTTCAGTTTCATCCACTGCCGCCTCCCTCCTAGTCGCGTGATCAGACGCTTGGCCACCGACTCGTATTTATGACGGTTGCAGCGTTCCGGGGTGGGTGTGTGTGTCACGTGATCCTCTTTGGCGTCTTTCTGGCGAGCAAAATCAAACGGGGAGCCAGATTCACATAACAACTGGGTGACTAGCTTAATAACGGCAGCAATTTACATAACAACTGTGGCAGGAAAAGGTCATGCCGTGGGGTAAAACTCAGAAAATTGTCTCGCTTAGTAACAGAAATTTGGGGCTCGGTTGTGGTCGTAAGTCGAGGACCACCTGAAAGGGGCAAGGTCTTGGGGTGGGGAAGAGCGGCCCTGCTTCAACCCCGGGAACGGTGGGCGTTCCTGCCCAGAGAGGGGCTTCTGAAACCCGCTTGGAGCCGGCTTCCCTCCTGCGCCTGGGCCAGGCGCCGCTGGAGGCTCCTCCATGCCTGACGATCTGAAAGCCAGGAGGACCTCATCGGCCTAGAGCAGGGGTAGGCAACCTTGGCTCTTTTATGACTGGTGGACTTCAACTCCCAGAATTCCTCAGCCAGCCTCCATAGAGTTAAGACAGGAGTCTTCAAACTTGGCCCTTTTATGACTCGTGGACTTCAACTCCCAGAATTCCTGAGCCAGCATGGCTCAACTTGGAACCCTCTCCCTTTCCCCTCAGCGTGGCTGGCTCAGGAATTCTGGGAGTTGAAGTCCACCAGTCATAAAAGAGCCCAGGTTGGCTACCTCTGGTGTAGGCCGAGGCCGCTTTATGACTGGTGGACTTCAACTCCCAGAATTCCTCAGCCAGCATGGCTCAGCTTGGAAACCTCTCCCTTTCCCCTCAGCATGGCTGGCTCAGGAATTCTGGGAGTTGAAGTCCATGAGTCATGAAGGGGCCAAAGTTTTCCCCATGCTGGCTCAGGAATTCTGGGAGTTGAAGTCCACAAGTCATGAAGAGGCCATGGTTCCCTCATGCTGGCTCAGGAATTCTGGGAGTTGAAGTCCACCAGTCATAAAAGAGCCCAGGTGGCCTACCCCTGGCCTATACTATACCTATACAGAAACCTATTCTGAGATTTGTTTTTTAAATCCTGAAATTTGTTTTTTAAATTTGTTTTCAAATCTAAGATCTGACTTGATTTCAAGTGAGAAGACTAAAATAACACAAGTAACATTTAATGTTTTTAGGAACTAATTTTGGCATCCACCACTGCAATGGGAGTGATGTCGAACTGAGGGAATTATATTGCTATTTCCTGGTCTATACAGGTAGTCCTAGACCAGGGTTAGGCAACCTTGGCTCTTTTGTGACTCGTGGACTTCAACTCCCAGAATTCCTGAGCCAGCATGGCTCAGCTTGGAAACCTCTCCCTTCCCCTCAGCATGGCTGGCTCAGGAATTCTGGGAGTTGAAGTCCACCAGTCATAAAAGAGCCAAGGTTGCCTACCCCTGGCCTAGAGGAGAGAAACCGGATTTGGAGCCTTCACTCTGTTTCTGGAGAAAGAGGATTGGGCCTAGCTGGCCTGGTTGAGCTGGCCTTCCCAGCCCCGTTTCATTTTCCATGCCCGAAGGTTGGTGTCCTCCTTGCGGCAGAAGGTCCCTCATTCCTGGAGTCCCAAAGGTGCTTTTTTCAGGAGGCAAAGGACTTCCCTGTTTTTTCTTTGAAGACGTTTCGCTTCTCATCCAAGAAGCTTCTTCGGCTCTGCCTGAATGGTGGAGGATGGAAGGATTTATACTCTGGTTGTTAGCTCTCTCTCTGAGAGTGGTTGAAGGCAGAGCTGAAGAAGCTTCTTGGATGAGAAGTGAAACATCTTCAAGGAAAAGACAGGAAAAAAAGCAGCTTTGGGTCAACCCTGACCTGGAGGAGGGAGAACCTCCATCGACACCTTCCTGGAGCTCACCTGCCATCTCCCCTGCTTGAGCCAGGGGTGCCAGGTCACCTGGGAGATGCCACCCTCCGTCTTCTCTAGGGCACCTGACAGGCTGGCTCTTTCCAAGTCCAAGCAGGCAAGGATGATCCTTAGGCCAGTGGTTCTCAACCTTTTTAATGCCGTGACCCCCAACCGGTCGTAAGTCCAGGACTACTTAACCGGTCGTAAGTCGAGGACTACTCAACTGGTGCAGCACCGTTTGCAGAATGGGACTTTTGGCGGGCTCAGTGGGGCAGAGACAGCCTGGACAATTCCTATTGGCTTTTGAAAGCCAATAGAATGAGACTCTATTCAAGAGAGTCTCTTCTATTGGCTTTCAAAAGCCAATAGAATAAAAGGGAGTAGCACAGCGAAGGAAAAGGGGGAAAAAATGGCGGACTGCGTTGTTTGGCGACCCCGGTGAAATGGTCGTTCGACCCCAAATGGGGTCCTGACCCACAGGTTGAGAACCACTGCGTTAGGCGATCCTAAGTCCGCCTATTGCCAGATGCCCTTGAGGCCACGATGGGAAAGACTTGGGGACCCATCGTCCTGTTTGCTCTCCCTGGAGGGCAGGACTCTTAAGGGTGGGCTCTCTTTTGCCCCTGTGCGTCTTCTAGGCATTTCTACAAGCCCCTGATGAAGAAGGGAGCGGCGAAGTGGACGGGCCACGTGGCTGTGTTCCTCGCGTCTGCTTTTTTCCACGAGGTTAGTACTTCTCTCTTCTAGCTGACAACAGACCGAATCCAGACTCAAAACTCAAGACGCGAGGGGGTCCTGCGTGCTCTCTGAGCTGGGTGGTTGTCTTGGACGTTTGGCGACCTTACTAGGGAACGCCATCAGGGCCAGCTGATGATGTCACCTAGCACTGATGACGTTCCCTAGTTGGCATGACGAAACATCTGCAAGAAAACCACCAGCCCTGAGGGGTCCTGCACCCAGGACCCCCTCAGGGCTGCTTCAGATCTTGGGCCTGACATGCAAAGTCCGAAGCCCTAGCGCACTTTGCACATCCTCTCTTTTCAGCAAGGCCTTTGAAATAAGAACAGAGCCTGCTTGTGGCAGGGGCTGGTGTCCCTTTCCCTGGACTCAGTCGATGCCTCTTGAGAGAGAGAGAGCTGACATCCCCTTGCCCCACAGCAGGCACCCCCCTGCCCCCCTCTTTTCACCCAAGAGGGCGTTCGTGGTGCCCCCTTGTCTTTGAGCTGACTTTCCCATCTCTCTTCAACCCTGGCAGTACCTGGTGAGCGTCCCCTTGAAGATGTTCCGGCTGTGGGCGTTCATGGGTATGATGGCTCAGGTGAGACCAGGAGGCCCGTGGCCACGGGTGGCAGTCGGGGAGCCCAGGAGGGGCTGTTGCACCCCCCCTAGCCCCCCCTCCTGCTCTCGCCCCTCTCTAAGCTGCTGCTGGTCTCCCTCTCCCCCTGCCCAGATCCCCTTTTCCTGGTTTGTGAGCCGCTTTCTCTGGGGCAACTACGGGAACGCGGCGGTATGGATATCTTTGATCATTGGCCAGCCTATTGCCATCCTCATGTACGTCCACGACTACTACGTGCTGAACTACGAAGGAAGCCAGTGACTCTCATGGCCGGCCGAGGCTCACCTCCGTCCTGCCTCTTCTGTGCTGAGGATCAGCAGGGGGCCTGGCCGTGGCCAGCCTCCCCCCTCCAGCCTCTCTGCCGCCTCTTGTGGGGGGGGGGGGACCCAGATCCACTGAAGGAACCAGCCCAGGCCACGACACGGACTCTGCTCAGGAGGAGTTGCCTCGCGGGTGTTATCTTGTCTCTGACTCGTGTGTGTGTGTGTGTGTGTGTGTGTGTGTGTGTGTGTGTGTGTGTGTGAGATGGTTGTCTATCAGGTACTCTTGAAGTCCGAATATTGGATCAATGCAATAACCTTCCCGGTGCCCCAGTTTTTAGCTGGTCCTCTGGCAGGATTGATCCCGTGAGCCGTTGCCTTCCATCCACGCAATAGAAATTAGGACTGACGCCAACCGTGCCTGGCAGGGCAGAGGCTGCGGCCCTTTCAGAGGGAAGCTGGGCCACTGGAACGGGTGGGCAAAGGGGCTGCCTCCCTGGCACTTTAAAGGACTCAGGTTTATTGGGGGGTTTCCCCGGTCCCATCAGCGGATGAGAGCAGCCCCCCTCCCTTCCTCCCCCCGGGGCATCTGGCCCTCTTCGGTGTGCCGTCTTCTTTCATGGGCCAGGGGCTCCAGGGCTCACCTGGCTTCTGTTTTTCCTTGCCCCACAAGAGTTGCCCCAGTTCTCTGCACTCCTGGTCCGTCCCGACACTTCTGGGGCTCAGCTCTGCACGGCTGTCGGCCCCTTCTGGGAGCTGCCCCAGGCCTGTGAGACTCCGTCCGATAGGCTGGCAGGAGCCGTAGCCGCCGTCTGACACCCAGGGTGGGTTGCTACTGAGCCCGACCGTGTTTTTTGTCAACCCAGCAACTTTTTAAGAGTTTGCAGAATGTATCTGCCCCGGTACCAAGTGATTAAAGCATATTTTCAAAATGTTTCTGTCTCTGTGCGGTGGGGTGGAAGACCCCTTGACTCTGTGCGGTGGGGTGGAAGACCCCTTGAGGGAAAGTAGACAGAGGGTCCCTGGGGGGGGGCCTCTGGGGAAGGGCAATGAGTCAACCAACCCAAGGACGAAGCCAAAGGCGTTTGCGGCAGTTGGACACGAGGGAAAGACAACCTAAAATAGCCAGCTTTAAGCAGAGGTGTCCAAGCCTGGCAACTTTTTAAGACCCGTGGACTTCATCTCCCAGAATCCCTCAGCCCACCTGGGCTGTTCTGAAAAATGGGATCTGAGGAGGCCTGAGAAGATGTGAAGTTTGAGGCCAATCCAAAGTTCCCCCTGGAGAGGCCTCTGCAAGGCCACATTTTGGGGCCGGCTGGTGTCTTTTCAATGGAGAACAAGGTGATCCGTGAAAAGCAGTTTCTCCATTCTTCCCATATTTATTTGTATCCCTCCTTTATTATTTTTATAAACAAGGTGGTGAACACACACCATACTCCTTCCATCTCCTATTTTCCCCACAGCGACAACCCTGTGAGGTGGGTTGGGCTGAAAAAGACTGATTCAAGCAGTCTTTGTGTCTAAGGTGGGACTCGAATTCACCGCTTCCTGCTGATTGACCCAAAGTCACCCAACTGGCTTCCATAAATAAGGCGGGACTAGAATTCATCTCCTGGTGATTGGCCTAAAGCAGGGGTCTTCAAACTTGGCCCTTTTATCGTGCCTGGCTGAGGAATTCTGGGAGTTAAAGTCCACAAGTCATAAAAGGGCCAAGCTTGAAGACCCATGGCCTGAAGACACCCAGCCGGCCTTTGTGCCTAAGGCAGGACTAGAACTCGCTGCTTTCCGGCCTGGTGCCTGAACCACTAGGCCAAACTAGCATTTTACTACAGCTATTCCTCCAATTACTTCTGGAGCCACGTGGCTAGCCCTTTCCCGTTCAGGCCAGACTCCAGATGGCTAACAACTCATTCGTTGCTGATTTCATCTCACTTATAAACAGAAATGCACCAGTCTGGAAGAAAAAGTAATTATAATAGTGGTTGGTCTATGATAAAAGAAACCACAAATGAGTAATATCTCGGTTAAGACCATGTTTTCAGGTCTTCCTTTAATAGGCAAGATGTTGAGGATGAAAGGGGATCCAAATTCACTCTCAAAATGGAGACTAGTGGAAGACAATTCTGCTTCCTATCATCCTGGTCTGCTTGAGCAGTGGCTTGGGACTAGATGCAATGCTTCTCAACTATGGTAACTTGAAGATAGACGGACTTCAGCTCCCAGAATTCCCCAACCAGCCATGGTGGCTGGGGAATTCTGGGAGGTGAAGTCCATCCATCTTCAAGTTGCCACAGTTGAGAAACATTGGACTAGAAGACCTCCGAGCTCCCAGCTCCCTTCCACCTCTTATTCTGCTAATTGTGGTTGTGAGTCGGGGACTCCCTGTACTTTTAGGGAGCGAGCATCTATAAGGTTGCTAAGACTGGAAAGCGACTTAATCAAAACTATCCAAAAAAACCTGATAGTTTGATGGGCTGATTCATGAATCTCCTGGGTTCCTTTTTAGAATAGAATAATAACTTTCACTTTGAATGTACACTAATCGGCATACATTACAATGAAATTTCGTTGCATTCAGCTCTCAAAGGGTCACCACCTCGTTGGTGGTAGATCTGAAGGCAGAGAATCAGGTTCCTCCGACTTGGGAAAAGCTCCAGATCCCCCATGTGTAGTAGCTCCCCCTCCCATGACCTCCTAGGCCAGGGGTAGGCAACCTTGGCTCTTTTATGACTGGTGGACTTCAACTCCCAGAATTCCTGAGCCAGCCAGGAAAGGGAGAGGTTTCCAAGCTGAGCCATGCTGGCTCAGGAATTCTGGGAGTTGAAGTCCACGAGTCATAAAAGAGCCCAGGTTGCCTACCCCTGGCCTAGGGCAAATGAATGATTCTCCCCCCACACCGCCCATATCCCTTAATGCGTGGTTGCCTCACTGCCCAGCCACCCCCCCAGCCCTGTGGCCCTTCTTGTCCCCTTCTAGCTCCAGGAGGAACAGAACAGAACAGAGCTGGAAGGGACTTTGGAGTCCGGTCTTCTAGTCCACCCCCTGCTCAATCAGACCAGCCTAGACCATTTCCGACAGGTGGCTGTCCAGTCTCTTCTTAAAAGCCTCCAGTATTGGAGCACCCACCACTTCTGGTGGCAAGCTGTTCCGTTGGCTGATCGTTCTCCCAATCAGGAAGTTTCTCCTTATGTCTAGCCTGCTTCTCTCTTTGGTCAGTTTCCATCTGTTGCTTCTCGATCTGCCTTCTGGTGCTTTGGTGAATAACGTGACCCCCTCTTCTTTGTGGCAGCCCCCCAGATACTGGAACACTGCTACGTCTACCGTTTCTTCTTTTCTTTAGACTGGCCAAACCCAAGTCCTGCAGCCGTTCTTCGTATGTTGTAGTCTCCAGGCCTTGGATCCTCTTAGTTGCTCTTCTCTGAATTTTTTCGAGACATTCAACAATATTTTTTTTGTAGTATGGTGACCAAAACTGGCTGCAGTATGTTCCAGGTGTGGCCTCACTAGGGTTTTATAAAGCGGTACTAATACTTCGCGTGATCTTGATTCTATGCTTCTATTTATACCAGGGGTTCTCAACCTTGGCAACTTTAAGACTTGTGGACTTCAACTCCCAGAATTCCTCAGCCAGCAAAGCTGGCTGAGGAATTCTGGGAGTTGAAGTCCACAAGTCTTAAAGTTGCCAAGGTTGAGAACCCCTGATTTATACAACCCAGAATGGTATTAGCTCTTTTGGCTGCTGCTGCACACGGCTGGCTCCGTTTACGGGATCGTCCACTGGGACTCGAGGACCGAGGGGCTCTTCCCTGCTTCCGCCAAGAGAAAGAACTACACTCCCAGGTTGCAAACCGGCCGGACGCGCGGCCCCATCATCCCCAGCCGGCGCTGCTCCAGACAGACTCTCGGCTGGACCGGCTGCAGCACCCGCCTCTATGGTGCATCGCATAGCCAAACCGCCTCGGCCGCTCTGCCCGCCCGCCGGTCCCGAGCTCTATGGCCTGGAAGCGGAAGCTGCCCTCTGGCGGCCCGGCGGGGAAGCCGCCTCTTCCTGCCGCTCCCGCTCGCTCGCGCTTCTGCCGCCGCCGCCGCCGCCATATTGTCTCCCCCCGCGGCGGGCTGAGAGAGGCCGCCCCCTCCCCCAGGAGCGGACCCGGGAGAGACCCGCCCGCTCCCCCCGTCCTCGTCGCCGCCCCCCCGCGCGGCCCGGCGAGGTGAGGAGGAGCCGCGGGGCAGCCTGGGCCGGCGGGGTGGGGGTGGGGAGGCCCGAGCCCCGGGAGTGGCGGGCGGGGGTGCGGGGGGGAGCCTTTCAAGGGCGGTGCGGGGGGGCCGGGGGGCGGTCTCCGAGGGTGGCGCCCCCCCGCGGCGATGGGCCGGGACGTGGGCGCCACTTGGGGAAGGCCCCGGCCGTTGAGTTGGGGGGGGCGAGGGGAGCCGCCCCCGTACTTCGAGGTCTCTGGGAGGGGGCGGGGAAGACGCCCCCCCGCAGAGAGGGGGCTCTTTGGGCGGGGGAGGCGCGACCCCCGCCCTGCCCCCATAGCCATCCCCGGGGGCTTTGTGGGCGCTGATTTCTCAACCCCCCCCACGGGGTTGTCGTTGGGGCAGAATGGAGGAGACCCCCCCCATCCATAAAGGGTCCCCAATAGACCCTCCTCGAAGCCTTGGGTGGGGGTTTCTCAGGCCTCTTGGGTCAGGGCTCTGGTTGGGGGGGGGCAGAGCAGAACTTTCTGGCCTTTACCCCCCAGGGGTCCCAGGGGAGGCCTGGCCAGGAGCCCCCCCCGCCCTCCAGCAGCCCCTTCCCCAAACCCTGCAGGGCCTTCCCTCTCCTGGGGGAGGGTCAAGACAGGAGAGGGAGACCCCGGCTTTCCTGCTCTCCTGCCCCCCATTCAGCCTTGGGGAGAAGGGGGGCTTTCTTGGGGAGCCCCACCTTGAATCGGCCCAGCTTGCTGACCCTCCCGGCTGTTCCCAAGACGAAACTGTTGAGTGGCTGCTTCCTGGTTCGGATCTCTGTCCACCTTGACACCCTGGTTCGCACAGCGTCCCAGGCCATAATGTGCTTTGCTTGATTGGGTTTGGTTTGGCCCGTTGAGTGGTGTGTGAGTCCGGTGTGCAAGTTGTGGCTTGGCACGGTGGGTGAATCTCCTGTTAATGCACGGCTCCAGAGCCCAAATCACCCACAGAGTTTCAGTTCATTTGAATTTAGTTTGCTTTAAAATTGCCCTGCTTCAGTTCAGGCAGCTCCTGGTCTGAGGGACGTTTCGTGACCCAACTAGGTAACATCATCAGTGATGTCTTCCTTCTTTTTCTTCCTTCCTTTCCATCCACCCACACGTTAGTACTCTCTGACCTTGGTTGTTTTCCTGCAGATGTTTCATTACCCAAACCAGATAACATCATCAGTGTTAGAAAACGCAACTTCCCCTCCCTTCTAGCACTGATGATGTTACCTCCCAGAATCCCCTAGCCAGCATGCTTAAAAGGTGGGGGCTTCAACTCCCAGAATCCCCCAGCCATCATGTTTTAAGAGGAGGCTTCAACTCCCAGAAATCCACAATCAGAATGCTATAAGGGGGACGCATCAACTCCAAGAATCCCCCAGCCAGCATTTTAAGGGGGGGGGGACTTCAATTCCCAGAATCCCCCACCCAGCACAACCCCCACTCCCTTCCAGCGCTGATTGTGTTACCTAGTTGGGTCATGAAACATCGAAAAGAAAACCACCAAGCTCAGAGAGCTCCAGGGAGCCCTCATTTCAGCCCCCACGCTACGAAGACACCCTGTTCTCTTTTCTAAATTAGCCAGTTTGGTTTGGGGATTTGGACAAAGCTGACCTTCATTGTGTTCCATCCCGGTTTCTTCCCTGGCATTCAGTTTGTTTTGAATGATCTATCCGCCCTGGTTTTATTACTCACGGTTTTCCCCACGTAACTTTCTGGATTTACCTAGCCCCGGGCCCTATTTAGAAGAAACTTTAGGATTCCTACAACCTTTTATTCTCCGATAGCTACTTGAGAGGGATGTGTTCCATTTTTTCATTGTTATCCTAGACCAGAGGTAGGCCACCTTGGCTCTTTTATGACTGGTGGACTTCAACTCCCAGAATTCCTGAGCTGGCATGGCTCAGCTTGGAAACCTCTCCCTTTCCGCTCAGCGTGGCTGGCTCAGGAATTCTGGGAGTTGAAGTTCACCAGTCAACCAGGTTGCCTACCCCTGTCCTATCCATACAAGTTTTTGTGCAGACTATCCAGGAGAGAAGTGTTAAAAAAACAGCAGTTTGGGAAAGGAGAGAATATGACAGTTGCAGAAATTATCCCTTCTTTTTTTCAGGAACGGGGCGATGCTATAACCGGATGCCTGGGTCCTCGGAACCGCCTCTCTTTCTGCCCCCCTCGTGTCAGATGGAATCCGGCCGCTGACGGTGTGGGATCAGCCTGCCGCACCTTCCGAGCACCGTGTGGCCAGCCTCACACCCCTCCCTCCCCGCCCCCCCTCCCTGCCTGGAATGCTGTATGTGCCTTGCTCGGCCTCTGGCAGGACAGCGGCCAGTGCCAGCATTGGGGCAGCCCATTAAAGCAGACTCCAGGTACCCGCTCACCTGAGGCCAGCCCTCTTTTTTCTGTCAGGTGTGGGAACCCGCGTTTGGGTGCGGACGTGAGCTCGTTTGTGCAGGTAGCCCTCAACTTACGACCACAGCTGAGCCCAAAATTCATGTGACCGTATGAGACATTTGTTAAGTGAGTTTAACCCCATTTTACAACGTTTTGCCAGTCGTTAAGGAAACCACTTCAGTTCTGACTTTGCCCCGCTGACTTTGTTTGTCAGAAGGTCACAAAAGCGGGTCACACGATCCCCAGACAGTGCAGCCGTCATAAACACGAAGCAGCTGCTAAGCATCTGAATTTTGATCATGGTCGTAACGGTCGTAAGTGTGAAAAATAGTCATAAGTACCTTTTTTCAGTGCCGTCGTAACGTTGAACGGTCACTAAACGAACTGCTGTAAGTTGAGGACTAGCTGTATTTCGTTTATTTTTATTTCTTAATGCATATTCCGGAAATGAATTTCTCTGGAGGTTCCTTGGGAAAGTGGGATGTAAGAATGCTTTCCAGGTCCCGAATTCAGAAAGGAGTGTTGACTCCATGTTGACTCCGGTATATCCGTAGCCTTAATGCCCACAGCTTAGTCGTGATTTCCGCTCGTCTCCAGCCTGGGTGTTCTTGAAGTGTTAGCACAGACGTCCTGACTCTAAAGCAGTGGTTCTCAACCTTTTTAATGCCGCGACCCCCAACCGGTCGTAAGTCGAGGACTACTCAACCGGTCGTAAGTCGAGGACTACTCAACTGGTGCAGCACCGTTTGCAGAATGGGACTTTTGGCGGGCTCAGCAGGGCAGAGACAGCCTGGACAATTCCTATTGGCTTTTGAAAGCCAATAGAATTAGACTCTATTCAAGAGAGTCTCTTCTATTGGTTTTCCAAAGCCAATAGAATAAAAGGAAGTAGCACAGCTAAGGAAAAGGGGGGAAAAATGGCGGACTGCGTTGTTTGGCGACCCCCGTGAAATGGTCGTTCGACCCCAAATGGGGTGCCGACCCACAGGTTGAGAACCACTGCTCTAAAGGCAGTTCAGCAGCCCAGCAGCCATTTGTTGAGCAACAGGTTGGAATCTTAATAATTGGGTTTTTTTTTTTTTTTTGTGGGCTTTCGGGATTTGAAAGACAACTTGGTGCAAAATGCCCCTTCAGTTTTATTTTACTTTATTATACTTTATTGTAGCATCCGGCTTTGATTTCCGACTCAAACATCCTAAACCTAATACAATCAGGACACGGCATACTGTTGCTCTCTCCCTTCTGTTCCCCTTTAAGGTTAAGCTTTAGATTTTAAACTTTTCTATGTTGAGCTGCGCAGCCTAAAGTTTAACCATACGTATGTTTTCAAATGTATATTTGTGCATGTGCCTCTCTGTGGGTTTCTAAATAACTATTACTACATAGCGTAAAAAATACTCATTTTTTAAAAATTGCCAGCAGTCTCCCTCTCTCTGTCCCTCTGGCTAGTAAAATCTCTTATCTTCCCTCACCTTCCTGTGATGGGCCAATCAGGTCCTATAATTCCTCCTTTTGTTCAGGTCTTTGCCCATCTTCCCCACCCTTGCCCTGTCCTTCTCTGCTCTTGGCCGTTCTCCAACCAGCATGCCTTTTGCAGTATAAAGGTTGCACCATCCACGATTGGTTTGCCAGCTAGCTTTTTAATCAAGGCCAGTCTTCAGTGGCCACAAATTTTGCAGATCCGTGTTGTTCAAATTTGGCAAGTCTTAGATGTGTGGACTTCAACTTGCAAAATTCTTCTGCCAGCGTACTAAAATCCACACATTTTAAAGTTGCCAACTTTGAAAGATGCTATTTTAGGTCCATGCTAGATGCCAGCCATTGTGCATCTCCGTCAAGTTCTATCCCCTGGTCCTTTTTCCCAAAGTTAATTAAAGTTAAAAATTAACTTTTAACCCAAAGTTAAAACTCCCTCTGATACCAGCCCAGGAGTTCTTCTTCCCTGTTATATAAGGATGAAAGTCCGTATTACAATTCAAAACTAATAGTGCTTAATTAACACTGGTTAATTGTTCTCACTGTCAGGAAGTTTTTCCTTAGTTCTAGGTTGCTTCTCTCCGTTGCTTCTTGTCCTGCCTTCAGGCACCTTGGAAAATAGCTTGACTGCCTCTTCTTTGGGGCAGCCCCTGAGATATTGGAAGACTGCTATCATGTCCCCCCCTCGTCTTTCTCTTCATTAAATGAGACATACCTAATTCCAGCAACCGTTCCTTATATGTTTTAACCTCCAGTCTCCTAATCATCTTTGTTGCTTTTCTCTGCACTCTTCCTAGAGCAGTGGTTCTCAACCTTTTTAATGCCGCGACCCCCACCCAGTCATAAGTCAAGGACTACTCAATCAGTCGTAAGTCGAGGACTACTCAACTGGTGCAGCACCGTTTGCAGAATGGGACTTTTGGCGGGCTCAGCAGGGCAGAGACAGCCTGGACAATTCCTATTGGCTTTTGAAAGCAATAGAATTAGACTCTATTCAAGAGAGTCTATTCTATTGGCTTTCAAAAGCCAATAGAATAAAAGGGAGGAGCACAGCTAAGGAAAAAGGGGGGGGGGGAAATGGCGGACTGCGTTGTTTGGCGACCCCCGTGAAATGGTCGTTCGACCCCAAATGGGGTCCCGACCCACAGGTGGAGAACCACTGTCCTAGAGTCTCAGCATCTTTTTTTACATTGTGGTGACCAAGACTGGATGCAGTATTCCAGGTGTGGCCTTACCAAGGCGTTTTTCATGCAGTTGTTTCATTACGCAACTTGTTAAGATCATCAGTGATCCATCCATCCATCCATCCATCCTGCCTGCCTGCCTGCCTGCCTGCCTGCCTGCCCGCCCGCCTGCCTCTCTCCCTCCCCCTCCCTTGGAGTCTGTCCCTCCCTCTCTCCCTCCCCAATGGATGGATCTTAATCTGTTCAGGTGCAGGAGGAAGGGCCTCCCTCTGTTCCCTTTGCGTTTGTCTCCTGGGCTCCACTCTGCCTTCTCATTGCCAGCTGGGCAGTTCTTGGAGCAGCAGAACCCAACCTCTCGGCCCATCCGCTGGGGCTGAGCCTGCAGCCTCCCCCTCCCCTTTCTCTGGAAGGATCCTCTTTGGGGCTACATTTGTTTAGAGGAAGGCTGTTCAACCACGGCCACTTTTAAAATCTATGGACTTCAACTCCCAGAATTCCCCAGCCAGCTCAAACTGGCCAAGATTGGACCCTCCTGGTATAGAGGCTGGAAAGCCCTCTTTGTGGGGAATTGAAATGTAGAATTGTTTATAATGAGTATGGGATTGGATTGGATGGCCTACAGGTCTGCTTCCAAATTATGCATGAGAGTAGAGGTGCGGTAGATTTAATTGCACAGAATCGTATCGAATCCATCTCCTTGAGGCCTGTCCTGTCACTCTGTGGTAGATAAGCTCAGGAGCACCAATGTATGTCAGTTTAGGACGGGTTCTCAACATTGGCAACTTTAAGACTTCTGGACTTCAACTCCCAGAATTCCTCAGCCAGCAAAGCTGGCTGAGGAATTCTGGGAGTTGAAGTCCAGAAGTCTTAAAGTTGCCAAGGTTGAGAACCTCTGGTTTAGGAGGTATTATCTGTGATTATGCTGTTGTGTTTTCATAGTTTCCTGCGATTGCGCTCTGAGGAAAGGCAGACACAAAGTTTTGGCCTAGGAAAGAAAAACAGGAACTTAGAAGAAAGTTTGCGAAAGTTTTATTTGCTTTTCTTCGTGCTTTAAATGGATGCCCTTGGCATTTGTGTGCATGTGAGAATTCCTGACACTGGGAACTTGCTTTCCAAATGGAATTTAATCTTGAGATGCCAGATTCCTTTCCCGAGCACCAGCTGTGGCACGGGCTGTTTATGTTTGTAGAGTGGGTTTTGGACACTGCTGTGTCTCCCAAGATTCGCCGCAACTGAGAAGGGGCTTCATTTGGTTTTGGTCCATCTGAGGAGTGGTGGAGAATTTCTGGCTGTTAGAAGGGCAGGTTGAGGGAGTCTACGACGGCTCGCCACAGCCAACTTGCTGCGGGACAAATCCCCGCGAGACAGGAGTTCCCCTAATATCCACGAAGGAGTGGAATAAATCATTAAAGAAAGTTTGGCAAGAAGGGACAGAATGAAATGTGAATGACAAAAATTTAAATTATTTTTTAACTGTCTTAAATAGTGGAATTGTTGAGGGTTAAGGTTCGTTCTCTGGGTAACCCCTTCAGCGTCGTTAACTTGTAGACCCACTCCCAGAATTCCTCATCCAGATAGGCTGGCTGAGGAATTCTGGGAGTTGAAGTCCACAAGTCTTACAGTTGCTAAGGTTAGAGAGAGACCCCTGGTCAACATAGACCAGTGGTTCTCAACCTGTGGGTCGGGACCCCATTTGGGGTCGAACGACCATTTCACGGGGGTCGCCAAACAAGGCTGTCCGCCATTTTTTTCCCTTTTCTTTAGCCACGCCCCTGGCACCCGGTGATGTATCAGTGGTTGGGGGTCACCACAACATGGGGAAGTGTATTATGGGGTCGCGGCATTAGAAAGGTTGAGAACCACTGACATAGAGGAAGCCTTTGGGGTGGAGAAAAATGGGATTCTCCCTCATTTTTCAGAAGTGGTTTTCTCTTTCTCACGGCAGGGCTTGCTTAAAAGCTCCAGAATCCCGAGGCAGACCATCCATTGTTCCCCTCCGAGGCATCTTTGTGCTTCCCCTCCTTTCTGGGCCCGACCTTTAGTGGGAGCTGAAGCTGAGGGCAGAGGGCCCCCCCCAGCTAAGAAGGGGAGCCTCCCTCTCTTCTTTGCCTCCAGTCTAGAATTGAGAATTACTTAAGTGGCACGGGTTACAGTGGAGCCACTGGGGGGATAGAGGCAGTCCTCGACTTACGAGCACCCTTGAGCCCCGATTTCTGTGGCTAAGGAAGACGGTGAGTTTTCCCCCGTTTTGCGACCTTTTTGAGGGTGTCCGGCTTCCGCACTGACTTGCCAGTGGCATGGCGACCATCGTGAAT